CTCGTGTCTGATACCTTAATTTTGATTTCTCATTTTTGTACAAATAGGGCTGTCAAAAAAGCTCGTTGTTCACAAACAGCTCGTGTTCGGCTCGTCAAATAGCTCTTGTTCAGCTTGCTCGTTAAGTAAATGAGTCGAACACGAACAAGTTTCTAAAGTTCGAATTATAAATGAGTCAAACATGAACAACTCATTGTTCGCACGTGTTCGGCTCGTTTTAGCTTGAAATAAAAAAATATATATAATTATTTATATAATAATATATTATATAAATTTATGTCTAAGTTTAAAACGTAATTGCTCGTGTGGTAATGTGATTATGCGTATTTTTTTCTATACATTTGATTCAGGTTTGAATCCAACACTCTACATCTATATTTTTAGTTTAAATTTAACGAGCCAATTTCGAGCCAAACACGAACCGAGCACGAACACGGATATTTAAATCGAGTTGAACACGAACACACTGTTCACGGGCCGGTTTCGAACACGAGCCGAAATCTAACACAAACAATTTCGAACGAGCCGAACACGAGCCAAGCCTGAGCTCGCTCAAGCTCGGCTCGTTTACAGCCCTATGTACAAAATTAGAATCAGGTTTGTATATGCGGTCTCTGGCAGCCCTTTTCACTTTTCTGAGATATGTTGTTGACCCAGTGGCACCGGCTTTTTATTTAGTATATTTGACATGCTTTTATTTCCTGTTGGTTGACTTGGCTTCGTCGTTATTTGTTTGAGGATTCTCTGGGAATCAAGTAAATATAACTTAGGCCCTCTAAGGGCTTAATATTTTGAACTTTTTACAAAAATCATTATAAAAATTAAGACTAATTAAAATTTAGAATTAAAACATTTCAATATTTTTAAAATTGGTATTTACTTTCCTGCATGGCCTTAGAATCAGATTTTAAACGGATGATATAGTATGGTCATAACCTAAGTCATATCTAATAGGGCTTTCACACTTAGGACTTCAGGTAACTGCATCATATTACATTTCCCAAGGAGAAGTCTTCGTGTTTCTTCAACCCAACTGGCCCAGCACAAGTTTTATACTTGGGTGGTTGTATAGCATACTTTGGGTGTTAAAGGCTTCTCCAACCCAGACAGAAAATGAGTCCTTAGTGGGAGCGCCTCCAACTTCACAGTTGTAACTCTCTTTTCTTTCTTTTTTGTGGCTTCATTGCCACTTTGACAGGTACAAATTTCATATCTACTTGTTCTACCTACAGAGGGTCATATGACTTGGAGTTTCATTCTTTTGACTTTAGGGTTATCGAAATTCTCTTAAACGACGCAATTCACAGATTGCTGACAAGAGGTCTCCGGTTGTGTTGGGTGGACTGCATTCACGACCAAGTAGACTTGGGGTGTCAATAGCTCGGGGCGACAAATCTATGATATTCAGATCCGACCATCTATACCCGACTAGGATTACTCTATTCTTCCTTTGCTACCCATTTTGAGTCATGTTACTTCTTTTGACGACGATGTCGTCTCGTAGGCCCCGATTGCGAATAGGTCGTTGTCCATTTGGGATACGGTAATTCACCCTCTACCCTTATGCCCCAATTAGGCCTTGGAAGTATAGTGTTGACCCTATGAATCGACCGTGTTGTTTCACGGGCCTCATGTGTCGATAAGCTGCTACCAAATTGGGATGTGAGATTCACTCTTTGCCCTGTAGCTTAGAAAATATCGAGATTTTACTGTGGAATAATCATCCTTCATGACACACTCTCACTAGTTTTTATATATGTGTAAACAAAACTCCTTTAATCAAAAGTATTCATAGACATCCCCCAAGATTTAATCAATCAAACAGAATAAATCCCTTTTAGAGTGCTCTTGACCCCAGAGCAAACACACTTATTTGGTTCTCTGATTTGGATAGCTTATGTAGGTATTCTTTCGTGGATATTCGATTTAAGATGTTTTAGTTCTTGTTTGAATGGACACTCTTGACCTATCACACGATGTTTATTGCACATTAGTTCTCCAAGTTCTTTTTCAAAATTTGTTTGTTTATCATCATCGTATATCCTTATTTTCTGATTATTTTTTTTTATTCTCCATATGATTCGGAAGAGAGATTTATTTGAAAAATGAATTCTACGACGATAAACAGGCTGGCGACTCTGACTTTTATAAAAAAACTGAAACAATCCCTAATATAAGTGGAATGACCATCAAGAATTGCATTTAACTTCTCACTGAAATAGGCTAATGAATATTTTTCTTGCTCAAGTACTCCACTTATGTCAACCCCTGAGACATTGCAAGCGAGGGCAAGCAAAACTAATCATTTTTGTAGGGTGGGCAAATTTTTAAATAATTAATTTAGATAAAAATTAAAAAATATTGATAATAATAATAACAAGAAATAAATGGATAAAATACATACAATTAGCATTTTTAGAGAAAAAGCACAAGCAAACGGTAAGATAATACCATTAAATTTATAATTAAAAAATATAAATAGACAAGAATCTAAAATTTAAAAAAAGAATAAAAAAGGGGTTAAGTTGCACATTTCCTAATGAGAAGGCAAAATTATAAATTAAGGCTGGTCAAACTTGTAAAAATTAACATCTTAAAAGCCCAACCTCAAATTAACGTGGTTCCGCCACTGGTCACAAGATGTCTCAAAGGCCATGTAGAAGTTGAGGAACTTCAACGTTGGCCATGTGGAAGTTTAGTACTCTTTTATTTCCTTCAAAGAGTGAAATGCAACCATATAGTTTACTTTAACACAAACTTCTCGAAGCATTGTGGGATGGGGCCATCAAGCTACGAAAACGATGAATATATAGGGGGATAGGTCAATCCTTAATAATTTTGATTTTATCAAGGGCACTGAATACACCTTGTTGGAAAATATGTAGCCAAGATCAATCATTAATGAAATCATTAAAAAAACACTTTTTCATGTGAATGTGCAATTTATTGTTGTTGAGGACCTCAAAAACATGTCCTAAATAGTATAAGTGACCATTTCATGTCATGTTAAAGACTAAAATGCCATCAAAGTGGACAACAAGGAAACCAATAAAAAGCTAAAGCACGTGAAGCACATAACTCTCATGATGTGGTTAAAGCATTAGTTAAGCTAAATTAAAGTCATAATCAACTCGTTCCCTATTGTTTATCGCATATTTGCATCATTATCATGATTTTTAATTAATAATTAAATAATCCTAATATCCACATATCATCCAGTTCAACATGCAATTAAATTCTAAGAGAATAGATGGCACCAAAACCATTGGAGAAGTATGCAAGCCGTGCTTGAGCTGCAGTGGAAAGTTTCAAATAGCTATGGAACTATCCGTGGAGAAGAATTCAGAAGGGCGGCTAGAAACATACAATTTTCTTCGCAGAAAAACCAAAGGTGGGATATGAAACATCATCTTGGAAGCTTTAAAATGCCTACTATGAATAGCAAAACAAAACATTCCCAAAATCGGTATATGTTATTGGGTTTCTCAAGCCAAGTAGGGGGTTAAGTAAGGAAAATTATTAATTCATTAACACACAATAGTCTACTATTGGCCTTCACACATAGAGCCCTACGGTTTTCGAACTTAATAATTCTTCCGAAGTTAGAAATGTGTGATTCCTAGAAAATCAGCTCCATTCTATAAATCCGACATTGTTCGACATTTTAGCTAACAAGAACAAAAGACTAGCTTAATGAATGATACTAAGAATACCTGATCATGTCTTAATTTCAATAAACTACATGGCCTTTTGTTGTTGTGTTTGTGGAACCAAAATCACCGAGATTTAACCTAGCGCCTAAGCATCGGGTTTATGCACCTAACCGTCGGGATTGGGCGCCTATGCGCCCATTGTCGGGCGCTGCATTCAAAGGGGGGCACTTTTGCATACATGTTTGGGCACAAACAAAGAAGCCGGCGCTTTTGCACCAGCCTTGGGCGCTCAAGCGCCTGTTTTGCTAGGTGCAGTTTTTTTCTTTCCTGAGAGCTAGGCGGTTTTGCGCCCAGAGCAGTTGACTCGCATTTTTCGGTTTTTAATTCTTGAATTTCGAGTGGCGTGTGTTGTCTTCCTTTGGTATTCTTCAACAAGTTCCTGGTGAAGGAGAGAAGAGTTTGAGATGAGGACTTTTTGGATTTCGACATGTGTTTTTCGTGTCAGATCGGCGAAGGAAGATTGTGAATCGTGTCTTGTAAGTTTCCTTATGTGTGGAGAGAAAACTGGTTTGTGTTCTGTGTAAAGACTATTTGAATTTCAAAGTTTTTTTTTTTTTTTTTTTTTGTAACTCCGTGATTTTTTTGCATTCTCAGGTATTTCCATGTGAAATTCTTGTGTATTTTTTTGGTTGCTTTGATTGTGTTTTTTGTTCAATGTTTGTCCCGTTTTCTCAAATTTGTGTGATCCTATTATTCCGTGGTATGGCTTAGTTTCCAATTGATCCTAAGCCCCGATAAAATTGGGAATTATCTTAGGATATTCCTATCATTTGGCATCTAGAAATATCACAAGAGGAGTATCAGGGGTGATACACCACCAGCTCTATTTTAAAATCATATCAACTAAAGCTAAAAGTTATGGGAAGAAGGAAGATATCAAAACATTTGATAACCTCTTTATAAGGCAGAGTGAGAACAAATAGTTTTAAGGCCCGATCTCTTAGCCTGAAATAGCTTTAATCTCATTTCTCTCTCTTAGCAACCAACAAATCTTTTTCAAATAAATTAGCACATTAATCTACCTCCCTTTAAACTGTCCGACTGGATTTGTTCATCTTCTAACAATATCCGGTAGTTCGGTCTATTTAACAATTAAGATAATCTTCTGTATCAAAAACTTCAGCGTCGAGTAATGATTTAAAAAAATAGAAATAAAATGTATATTTTCCAGAAAATAAACAATTCTGTAAAAAAAATAATCCAAATGGAATGGAATGAAAAGAAAGTAAGAAAATAAAAAAGAGTAAAAAGTTAATCCAATTTCCAGCTAAAGCGATAAAATCTTACCAGAATGGCCGTTAATCTTCCGAATTACATGAGTGATCCGGTCCGCCACATAGACATTATCATTATAATCGACGGCGAAGCTCCGAGGTCGCTTGAACATGGTAGAAATCGCATCACCATCTGAGAACCCAGTAGTTCCATTCCCAGAAAGCAGCCTAATGTGGCTCTCTGCAGCTAACATAGAATGAGCAACGAAAAAACGATAACCCCTACCCTAACCCTAATTAACTTAACCAAAACAACAAGAACAACATGAATAATAACGCGGGGGGGAGGGGTGTACAACCTTGGGAGAGAGGAAGATCTAGGGAGTAGAAGGCAGAGTTGCTAGAGTCGAGGAGGAGGAGAAGATTGGGCGATCGCGTGAGAGGATGGAGGGCGAAGGGAATGATGCCGGAGACATCGAGGCCGGCCGAGGGAAGCGGCTTGTTGAAGTCGAGAACGGTGGAAATAGAGTAGCCGGGCTCCAGCAAATGCTCAGAGGAAACTAGGGCTCCGTAGAGCGTGACGAGCAAGAGCTGAGCTAGAAGACGTCGTCGGGTTAACATCTCTGTTGTTTCGAAATTGGAACATGGGGATGGACAGTGAGCATTATGCATACATATAGATACTCTTTTTACTCTGAATAAGGGGAATTTGAGAGTTCAAATAGATTAATATAACATATTAATTATATATATATATATATATATA